AGACAAAAAGGAATGGTCGATCAGCCCGTCTCCAAAACTCCAAATTCGGGTACTTCAAATGACGACGAAGAACGACTCAATTCGGATTAATTTCATTGTGTAATGCTACAATATTTTTCTAAGTTTTTATGTAATTCTAGATTCGTAAATGTACTGTTGACTTGGTATTTAATTTTATGTAGACTTCAACTTTAAAATTGCTATGTAATTTAATTTAGTAGTTTAATTGTTTTAGTGAAATTAATAATTATTTACAGGTAATTTATTATATATATAAAATAATATATATATAATATATATATAAAACTGTACAGTAAGATTTGCGACGAATATAATAATTTTCGTCGCAAATGAAGTGCGTCGATGTACTATATTTCGTCGTAAATCTTGTTTTGGTAGAACTAAATCTTGCGACGAATAGTTAACATTCGTCGCATACATTGGCGACGAACAAAGAAATATCGAGGCAATACGTTGCGACGATATATATAAATCGTCGCAAATTAATATTATTTTATTTTTGTTGAAATTGTTATGTTGCGACGAAAGTAAGAAAAACGTCGCAGACAATAGCGACGATAAAGTAGATATAAACGTCGCAAACACAAAAATCTAATTTATTATAAAAAATCGACTTTTTGCGACGAAAACGATTTTCGTCGCCCAATTAGCGACGAAACAGAGAATTCGTCGCAGCGTTTGCGACGGGATCATTGGCGACGAATTTTGACCCCCATTGCGACGAAATCTAAATCGTCGCGGGAGTCCTAATTTCGTCGCAACAGTCCTCGTTTCGTCGCCATATTTCGTCGCCTGTGGCCGGTTTTCTACTAGTGCCATCAAAGTTTCATCCCTAACCTTGCTAGATGTGCATGCATTTTATGTAAATTGGTGTGGAGAATTGTTCCTCTTCAAAACATCATATTATCTTGCTTATGTGACGGAGGTTTCCCTATTGTTGACGTCTGTAATTTTATGTTTAAATGATATTTCCGTTAGAGCAATTCCAATGGGTAATCAAATAGTGTATTCAAAACATTTAACTACCATTAAACACTAAAAAATATAAAATTTTAACTCAAATGGAGTACTTATCAAACGAGGGTTCCATTTTGATAATATGAGCTTTTTGATATAACCCTATCAATACTTCTTTTAATAGGGAGAGGTCCAAACTATTTTGCACCATTTGAGAAAAACCCATCCTAATTTCGACCATCCATTTTCCAATTATGCCCATGCCATCTCATCAGCATTATCACCGCCCATCAACCGTTTTTCTCCTTTTTATTATTTTTTTTTTTAATTTTTTTTTTTCGTTTTTAACTTTTTTAACTTTTTTTTCTCTATCAGGTATATTAATAACCTATGATGAAATATAGTCGATTAAGGAACTGACTACTAAAAAAAAAAAAAAACACAACTACATACATAAAAACGAAAGTCAACATTTTTTTACAAAACAAATAATATACATAAATTGTAATTGATTTATACAAATCGACATCGATACACAAAAATAAAAAAAATGAATTAAAAAATAAAATCGAGTAACCTTAATCACCAACCAAAACAGTCTATTAACACTTTAATCGACTATTAGAGCATAATCGATTAACTTAATTGACTATGATGAAGCATAGTCGATTAAGGGTCCAGCCTGCGCGAATTTCTCTACCCGCGCCGTCATCCGCCCAATCTACGAAAAAACCCTATATATGCTCTCCATCGTCACCACACTGCCGCCACATCACACCATCACCACCCCACTTCGATAAATTCTCGCATCCACCGCCTGCTGCACCACCACTCTCAATCGTCGAAATAAAGTACCACGACAATCTGATCTTCACAAACCTCTAGGAAACTTCAACCGATGGTGGGTGGTTCCGCTCCCCTCCCTTCCGGATCGACTTGCTGGAGCCGAAGAGCGTGGTCCCCACCACGCTTGCTCTTCCTCTTCGGCTGATTCTTCTTCTCCTTGTCGGTGGAAGCTGCGGCCCTTGTGACCAATGTTGAGGCTGTTGCCGGAGAAAAGAGAGAAAAAAAAAAAAACAGAGAAGATAATAGAAGAGAGAAGAAAATAACGAGAAAGGAGATGAGAAAAATGAAAATTGAGATTAGGGTTTTGAAAGAGTACATTGGACAATTAAGGGTAGATTTGGAATTATGAATATAGCATGTAGGTGGAATATTAGCTAA